GGATCTCTTCGCGGTGTTGCAGCAAACCCTCAACGGGATCGCGTCCTCGATTGAGGTCGCGGTGATGCGGCAGATCGGCGGCGCCTGCGCCGAGGCGATTCTTTCCTACCTCGCGGAGTGCCGCCGTGGGGGGGATTTTTATCGCTGGGAGGGCGAAAACGCGGCGAGGAAAACCCCCCAACCCGCGGAGGAGTGGCAACAACGCCGGATGCTGCTGCTCTACGCCTACGTGAACGACTGCAGCAACATCGAAGGGAATCTCGATACGATCGAGATGAAGTTCTACGCGTGCTGGGAGTACGACCTGGATGAAATGGCGGGGCGGAGTGGCGATGGGGCCGCCGGGATGCCCTTTTTGAAGGTGCAGGACGCCCTCTCCGATTGTGCGTTTCACTTTCTGGATGAGATCACCGCGCAGGTGGAGCGGGTGGTGGGGGCGCAGTGGGCCCTCGCCTTTCGCGAGGGCGCGTGGTACGACGAGGCGCGGAATCCCATCCAGGTGATCACCTGCACGATCGCCGATTACATCCGCGAGGAATTCCTCGGGATGCTCCCGCCGCAGTGGATTCGTCGGATCACGCGGCAGATGTTCGTTCGCTTCGTGGAGCGGTACCTCGCGGCGTGCATGGAGCTCCTTGGGGATGTCCTCCGCAAACCGAAGAAGAAGATCGTCAAGGATTGGCGCGCCTTTCGCACCTGCCTCGTGCGCGATGCGGAGCTCGCGATGGGGATGTGGGAGCGATGCAACGTCGATCGGCAGCTCGTCGAGCTCGCCAGGAAGGCGCTCGAGCTGCTCAAAAATCTTCTTTCGGTCAAGAAGCTCACCGATTTCCGGTTTTTCCTGCAAGAGCAGCTGCTGGATGACTTTGGGGATTGCCCGACCTTCGTGATTCGCTTCACCCTGCAAGCGCGCCCGGATGAGATCGACGCGGAGACGATGAAGCGGATGCTCGCCACCTGGAGGGAGCTCATCGCGCACCAGAAGCGGGATCCCAAGATCGACCTCCCGACCGCCGGGTGGAGCCAATCCACGAGCTTTTACGGCTCCATCGACCGCAGCATCGCGGAACTCGGGAAGGCGACAGGGCTTTTTGGCAAAAGCGCGAAGAAGAAGCGTCAGGAGCAGCGGATGCTGAAGGAGGAGGCGGAAAAAAAGGCCTCTCGGGAGGCCTATAAGGCGCAAAGTTCACCCAGCACGACGGAATCGTCGAAGAGCAGGACACCGAAGCTGAACTTGATGCGGGATGCGAAGATCGTGCAGGTGGCTGCGCTTTCGGATATTTTGAAATAACCCGCAGGAGAGGGATAACGGCTAGCGGGGATCGGTTTACCTTCTGATTTTATTTTCTTATATATATCAATATATAAATATAAATATAAATGCATATATATATATTTATATATATATTCTTTTACTTGCTTGCGGGGCTTTTTTTGCCATAGTTATTATTTCGATTCCTTTAAGTTATTATATATATATATAGATATATATTGCTTTTTTCCTCCTCTTGCTATTGACGTGCGTTTAATGATGTAATTCATCAAGAAACGCGAAATCCAACCATCCGACAGAATTACGTGAACCACGAGTACGCTGTCTCGTGTTGTAGATCTGCCCTTCCTATGATAAGCTGCTGGTTTAGTGTTCTCGTGTGCTGCCGCCTAGACGGGGCACATTAACTCCCTTGGTGCGCGTTATCTCTCCTTCTTCGACTTCTCTGAACTCGTTTAGAAAGATCCCATGCGTGCCTCCGTGGCGGCGACGCCACCGTTTCTCGTGGACGTGGCGGTGAACCTTACCGACTGCGTGTTTCGCGGCGTCGGGTGGAATGGCAGGCGGCTGCACGAGGAGGATTTCGACCACGTCCTGCGGCGTGCGGCCGGCGAGGGCGTGCATCAAATGATCCTCACGGGCACCAGTCTTCCCCAGTGTGAAAAGGCGATTCGGTTATGTCGTGAGCACCCCGGGAGATTTTTTTGTACGGTGGGCGTGCACCCTGCGCACAGCGCGGAGTTCACCCGCCCGCTCGATCTCGCGGCGATGGAGGAATTCGTCGAGAATCGCGGCGCGGTTCTTCTGCCGGAGCCCAACAAGGTCGCGATTCCCGCGGCGGAAGAGGACGAACACGCGCGGGCACACCTCAAGCACCTTCTCGAGCTGATTGAGAGCAGCCGTGATGTGGTCGTGGCGGTGGGCGAGATCGGCCTCGATAACGCGGAGCTTTCCTGTTGTCCTTCGGACCTCCAAGAAAAGTATTTCACCCGTCAGCTTCGCAGTTTCGCGCCGCTAGGGCTGCCGTTCATCTTTCACTCACGTGATTGCGGGATGCGCTTCGTGGAGGTGCTAAAGGCGGCGGTGGAGTCGTTGCCGAGCGAGTGCCCCCCTCTCCGCGGGGTCGTGCACAGCTTCAACGGATCCCAAGAAGAGCAGGAGGCGCTGCTGGGGATGGGCTTTTATCTCAGCGTGAACGGAAGCGCGTTTCGCACTCGTGAGCTCGCCACGCGGGTGGTTTCCGGTATTCCTCGAAATAGGCTTTTGATGGAGACTGACGCACCTTGGTGCGATATTCGCCGCGGCGATTACGGCTTTCAGTTCGTCTCCACCACCTTTGATACGACCTCACGGAAGAAACCGTTTGTGCTGGGAAAGTGTGTTGAGCGGCGAAACGAGCCCTGTCATCTCGTGCAGGTGTTAGAGGCGTACATCGGGGCGGCGAAGGAGGCTGCGAAAGAGGGACTTTTATCATACGATAGCTCGGCAATTTGTGAGGGGCTCACAAAGGAGGAACTCACGCGTGTTTTGTATGAAAACGTAAAGACACTTTTTGGTTTGTAAAGTGGGAGAGGAAACCGACACGTTTCCCTCGGATGAAGATGAACGAAGGACTTGTTAAAAATTTTTCTGATTATCCATTCTCTCACGAAAAAAAAAGCCCATTCATCATCATCCGGATGAATGTAGAATAGGCAGGTGTCTGTTCGAACTTCTGGGAGGTATGAACGCTTGTAAAGAAATGATATTTACCTGCTGCACATATTTTAGTATCGTTGGCAGTCACAACGGAAAATGCTAACACACTTGGAATTCTGAATAATAAAGTAAATGCTTATATGGACCGCACACTATTCTACTCCTAATTTAACTGCGAAAGCCGGATTTCCGGTTGAATAAAGGGGTTAAAACAGACACAAGCTTCATATACATATATATATATATATATATATAGAGAGAGAGAGAGAGAGAGAGAGAGAGAGATAG